CCTTGTAGTACCACTGCACCCTGCACCACTGCACCCTGCAACACTGCACCCTGCAAATTGCACCTGCAATGCACTGCAGCATGCACCTGCAACCACTGCACCCTGCAGCACTGCACCCTGCAACACTGCACCCTGCAACATTGCACCCTGCAGCACTGCACCCTGCAGCACTGCACCCTGCAACACTGCACCCTGCAACACTGCACCCTGCAACACTGCACCCTGCAGCACTGCACCCTGCAGCACTGCACCCTGCAACACTGACCTGCAACATTGCCCCCTGCAGCACTGCACCCTGCAGCACTGCCACCCTGCAGCACTGCACCCTGCAACACTGCACCTGCAACACTGCACCCTGCAACACTGCACCCTGCAGCACTGCACCTGCAGCACTGCACCCTGCAACATGCACCCTGAAAACACTGCACCCTGCAACACTGCACCCTGCAACACTGCACCCTGCAACACTGCACCCTGCAACACTGCACCCTGCAACACTGCACCCTGCAACACTGCACCCCCTGCAAACCCTGCAACACTGCACCCTGCAACACTGCAACCCTGCAACACTGCACCTGAAAACAATGCACCGTGGCCAAACACTGCACCGTGCAACACTACACCCTGCAACACTGCACCCTGCAACACTGCACCCTGCAACACTACACCCTGCAACACTACACCCTGCAACACTGCACCCTGCAACACTGCACCCTGCAACACTACACACTGCAACACTGCACCCTGCAACACTGCACCCTGCAACACTACACCCTGCAACACTGCACCCTGCAACACTGCACCCTGCAACACTGCACCCTGCAACACTGCACCCTGCAACACTGCACCCTGCAACACTGCACCCTGCAACACACTTTCATCTAGGCTGGAAGTCATGTAAGAAGTGATTTAATTAAGATGTTTACCTCAGCGTCACGTTCTCTCTTCCGTCTTATTATATTATTAGTGAGGTGCTCCTCCACACCTGTAGCAGGTATTTGCCTCCACACCTGCAGCAGGTGTGTGCCTCTACATCTGTAGCAGTGTTAATTATTTTATTTTGTGTATAATGTTTACGTGGCCTAGTGATTGATACTGTGTGTTGTAGATGCATACACTAGCCTAGTTATGTTATCTGGGGTCGGGTCATACCTCCAGGCCCAGCCTCTTGACATATCCGCCATTACTGATTTCTGCTTCTCATGGCCCTATCATACCAACTTGTGTGTGTGTGTGTGTGTGTGTGTGTGTGTGTGTGTGTGTGTGTGTGTGTGTGCGTGTGTGTGTGCGTGTGTGTGCGCGCGCGCGCTGTGGTGTATCGGGAAGTTCGGTAAGTCTAGAAGCGTCCGGTCACTCACTGGACGGGGCGTCGAGGGTCTGTGGAGTGGCGGTAAGAGTTCTCACCTCTTTTGGATTTTTGTGTCTGAAGTCTCTTGAAGGCGTTGTTCTGTACGCAAAAAAAAAAAAAGTATTGCTCAGTTGGGGAAGCTCATGACCGACGGATGCAACTGCAACACTTACAATACCATTCTCAGTGCATTTCATAACTGTATATATCGTTTGCATTCTTCTTGTATATCAAAAACAGTAGTGGACAAAAATATTTCTTCACATGTGAACTAAGTGTATAAGTGGACCATTAATCACAGGAAGTTCAACTCGACAAGTGTCAGGGGCCCAAGACTGTTCCAGCATTCATAAGAACTTAAGAGAGAAGGAACACTGCAGCAGGCCTACTAGCCCATGCGAGGCAAGTTCAGTTCTCCTACCGGCTTAATCCAATGCCTTAACCTAGTCAGGTCAGGTCACATTCACTTAAGGAAGGAACACGGCATCTGATCTAGTAGCACAAGCTAGTCAGGTCAAACTCACTCCCACCCGCACCCACTCGTGTATTTATCCAACCTATTTTTAAAACTACACAACGTCTTAGTTTCTATGACAGTACTCGGGAGTTTGTTCCACTCACCCATAACTATATTACCAAACCAGTGCTTTCCTACAGACGCCTGGCTGTCTTCAAGAGGGAGCTGAACAGACGCCTAAAGTCAGTACCTGACCAGCCGGGCTGTGGTTCGTACATCGGTCTTCGTGCGGCCAGCAGTAACAGCCTGGTTGATCAGGCCCTAATCTACCGCGAGGTCTGGTCATGGACCGGGCCGAGGGGGCGTTAACCCTCGGAATGCCCTCCAGGTACACAGTGATGTTGAAGACGAACAAAATTTTGAAATGCCAACATAGTCACTGTTGATCACATTAAATGACAGAAGGTGGAGAGGCAGAAATGGCTTTTTCGTTAACCTAAAACCCATGCAAATAACATAACTGACAAAACTACCTGAGGTCGTTCCAGGGGTCAACGTCCCCGCTGCCCGGTCCTCGACCAGGCTTCTTGGTAGATAAAGGCCTGATCAGGTAGGCTGTTACTGCTGGGCGCATGCAATCCATAGTACGAACCACAGCCCGGCTGATCAGGTACTGAAGAATTAAAAAACATGCCTCTTCATACAGCATGTGGACTGGATTCATAGAATTTCTTATTTAAAAGGAACTGAAAAATACCACTACCAAGAGCACTCCGTATTCTGTCGAGGAAGAGGTCAGGTATAGGTGAAATCCTAGAGTCCTTACAGAGTGAGGACATACCTCCTTTGTGGAGGCAGTAGAGTTACCTGGAGGTTATTCCGGGGATCAACGCCCCCGCTGCCCGGTCCATGACCGGGCAGCGGAGAACATGCCGTGAAGAACATGACGTTCAGTAGTGACGAGTTTACTTTGATATAGTAAGAATGAAGAACTCTAGACACACTATTTACAAAATGCAAGATCAAATAGAACGAAAGAAACTTATGAAATATTTAGGTGTAATGTCAACTAATCTGTCATTGGAAGAACACAATAAGGCAAATATTACGAAAGGTAGGAAAATTTTGGGGTGCATAATGAGAGCTTCGAAAATAAGGGAAATGACTAACGCTCTCTTGCTTACAGAATTGTTCACTGTTGACAGCTACTTTCAAGGCAGGATAGATATCAGAGCTGGACCATGGAGGGTGCTTGAGGACCTAGTTCCTAATCTGCACATTGCTATAATACCATTCTAGAGTAAGAAATATAGTAGAATTTGTAAAATATACCCAGTGAGCAGCTGGTGCCGTGGGCACAATAAGAGAACATTGTATGAATATACATGACCCCAGTCTGTTCAACACACTACAATAAGATAGAAACATTTCCGGAACAAGTGTACAAGTTTTCAAGATGACATTGGACATGTATCATCGCCGAGTGCCAGAACAACCAGGCTTTGATGGACCAGCGGGGCGCAGGCAAGAACCAGACTAGCATGTCCCAGGGCCAGGCTGAGGCAGTACGGAAACTCTCGAAATCCTTCAAAAGTAAAAGTACCTTCTAGATCTAGAACTAAAATCTTTTATTATTGATTTTTTATTTTTTCCCTTATGTTTGCAGACCTTGGGTAGTATAATGCCCTGTGGTCGTGTTTGCAGACCTAGGGTAGTATAATGCCCTGTGGTCGTGTTTGCAGACCTAGGGTAGTATAATGCCCTGTGGTCGTGTTTGCAGACCTAGGGTAGTATAATGCCTTGTGGTCGTGTTTGCAGACCTAGGGTAGTATAATGCCCTGTAGTCGTGTTTGCAGACCTAGGGTAGTATAATGCCCTGTGGTCGTGTTTGCAGACCTAGGGTAGTATAATGCCCTGTGGTCGTGTTTGCAGACCTAGGGTAGTATAATGCCCTGTGGTCGTGTTTGCAGACCTAGGGTAGTATAATGCCCTGTAGTCGTGTTTGCAGACCTAGGGTAGTATAATGCCCTGTAGTCGTGTTTGCAGACCTAGGGTAGTATAATGCCCTGTGGTCGTGTTTGCAGACCTAGGGTAGTATAATGCCCTGTGCTCGTGTTTGCAGACCTAGGGTAGTATAATGCCCTGTAGTCGTGTTTGCAGACCTAGGGTAGTATAATGCCCTGTGGTCGTGTTTGCAGACCTAGGGTAGTATAATGCCCTGTGGTCGTGTTTGCAGACCTAGGGTAGTATAATGCCCTGTAGTCGTGTTTGCAGACCTAGGGTAGTATAATGCCCTGTAGTCGTGTTTGCAGACCTAGGGTAGTATAATGCCCTGTAGTCGTGTTTGCAGACCTAGGGTAGTATAATGCCCTGTAGTCGTGTTTGCAGACCTAGGGTAGTATAATGCCCTGTGGTCGTGTTTGCAGACCTAGGGTAGTATAATGCCCTGTAGTCGTGTTTGCAGACCTAGGGTAGTATAATGCCCTGTAGTCGTGTTTGCAGACCTAGGGTAGTATAATGCCCTGTGGTCGTGTTTGCAGACCTAGGGTAGTATAATGCCGTGGTCGTGTTTGCAGACCTAGGGTAGTATAATGCCCTGTAGTCGTGTTTGCAGACCTAGGGTAGTATAATGCCCTGTAGTCGTGTTTGCAGACCTAGGGTAGTATAATGCCCTGTGGTCGTGTTTGCAGACCTAGGGTAGTATAATGCCCTGTGGTCGTGTTTGCAGACCTAGGGTAGTATAATGCCCTGTAGTCGTGTTTGCAGACCTAGGGTAGTATAATGCCCTGTGGTCGTGTTTGCAGACCTAGGGTAGTATAATGCCCTGTGGTCGTGTTTGCAGACCTAGGGTAGTATAATGCCCTGTGGTCGTGTTTGCAGACCTAGGGTAGTATAATGCCCTGTAGTCGTGTTTGCAGACCTAGGGTAGTATAATGCCCTGTGGTCGTGTTTGCAGACCTAGGGTAGTATAATGCCCTGTAGTCGTGTTTGCAGACCTAGGGTAGTATAATGCCCTGTGGTCGTGTTTGCAGACCTAGGGTAGTATAATGCCCTGTAGTCGTGTTTGCAGACCTAGGATAGTATAATGCCCTGTAGTCGTGTTTGCAGACCTAGGGTAGTATAATGCCCTGTAGTCTGAATTTTCTAAGCAATTTTTAGATTGAGTGTTGTAAAAGTATTTTTTTCTTGATGCAGGTTGGGTTTAGTGTGTTGCTTCGTGACCAACGCCAGGATGGAGGATGGGGTACAGGGACTCCCACGAGACTGGTCGCTGGCTGTACACGATACCAAGCTCTTCCTCAACAACACTGATAACGTAAGTCAGTTTATTCTGTGTTAGTGTCGGGAGGTGTGGGTCATGGGCTGCTTTGTGTGACTGTATCTGTAGTTGATCTGTAGACGTTCCGGGAATCACTGCCCTCGCGAATCGAACCCAAACCAGGCTTTCTTATTACGACTTAGACGTCATAGCCCAGTTGATCAAGAACCGATTTGAGAAATGTCCCATGTTTCCTCTTAAAGACAGCTAGGGGTATGTTGGTAATTTCCCTTATGTTTTCACTGGATGAGTTGTCTTTTAATGCACTAATGGCAATCCTATTTTGCATTTTGCACTGTTTGCTCATATAAAGATGAGATTTTAATTTGAAGATTTGGAATTAATCACTTAAGATTTTTCTAGGTGTAAATTATGATGCATGTTTGCATTCCAGGGTGAACAGTTTGAGGGACATAGGCATTCCCAATAATTTACGTCCTTGTCTCAATTTATACAAGCAGTGAAGCTTCATTATATACTCAGGATCAGCACTTTAACCATCCTGGAAAGAGGATGTTAGTATACAACTGTTCCAGTTTAGAGAAAACAAGTTGAAGATTGAGACACTTGTGCAGCATATGGGAATCTTTATTGAGGAAACGTTTCGCCACACAGTGGCTTATTCAGTCCAATACAAATCAGAAGGTTGTAAGGAGAGGAGTTTGAGGTAATCAGTCGGTGTGTTCAGTCCATCAATCTTGTACAAAGTACAGCATAGGGCCGTAGACGTGGCTTATATACTTCAATCTTCAACTTGTCGGTTTTTTTAAACCGTTTATCACAGAGAGAGAAAACAAGCAACTTATATTTATATCTGCCACTCGATTGAGTGGTTTGAGTTCGTTTTATATTGTTTCCGTAGCGGAGTAGCTGAAATTTGTCGTCATCGTACACCTGCACATAGGAGTCAGTAATAAAAATACAGATAAGTAGCACAAACATCACACTTCATATAATTTTGAAAAGGTAGTGAGAAAAATTAAAAATCTTTATGGAGGAGCACGAGCTGCACAACCCATGACAACATAGATTTAAAAAAGATTATACTTGTCACAACTACTAGATCATTGTAATAGAATTATGGAGACTTTGGAAGAAACTTTAAGGCAGATGTGGTAAACATGGACTTAAGGCGCTTGACAAATGTGATCATTCAAAGTTTATTCTCTATAAAGATTACAATGTTGAATTTACAGAATTTGGTTGTTGTGTGGTTTACATGTAGTTAAATAATGATTACAGAGTGTACCACTAGAACGCCTAGCATGGCTAGGCATTTCGGGCAGACTTAGTTTAATGGAGTGATGGCCCATGAAACAAGGCCAGTAGGTATAACAGGAAGAGTAGGAAAATGAATATTCGATTTCTTAGAACCAGAATATAAAATGGTAGTAAATAAAGCAAAATCTAGTCTTGGCAAAATGATAATAATAAAAGTTTAGTACCCCAGGGCACGATTTTTGTTGTCTTGACCGTTTTTCATCCTCAGCAAACAAAAACACTACAGCTTCGTTTTTTTCCTTTTCAGCCTAAACTAAAATGAACATGAAAGTTTCAGTTGTATAAGGCAGAAAAAATGCAGGAAGTTAGTAAAGCCTATCAGTGGGTAATGGAAAATAATGCATTTTTGATGGGGACACATTCCAACTGCTCAGTTATGGAAAGAGTGACGAACTCAAAAGGGGTAACGTATATAAACCATGAGCACCATTTCGTAGAACAAAAGGAACATGTTACAAGTCTTTGATATAATAATGTCCAATGGCCTATTGGAGAAAACGACCAGGTAAACCCCGCAAAGGCGCTGGATACTGAGAACTTTCAGACAAAAATAATGCAAACATTGACAATAAAACTTGTGCCTTCTCGTTTAGAATAATTGTTAGGTGTTTGATGGCTCTGTTTACGGCCAACTTGTCCTCGCAAAGTCTAACTAGATTTCTTACGCTGTTTTCAGCAAATTCCTCGATTTACGTTATTTTGGTTAGGTTAAGTTTTCGTCAGTTTGTAATCTACCAATTGCAGCAAACTACAACGTCATTAAATATAATGTTATATAAAAAAATTAAAACGCGAATTTTTTTTTGGACCAATCAAATGCACTCGTAAAATACAATACCATCATCACAGAACGAGTCAGATAATCATTGTTTAAGGCTCGTGAAGTCGCCCCCCATCAGACTGTCTTAGCAACAGTGAAATGTTAAGTTTAAGAGGATGGGCTTTAAGCATTGAAGGCGGCTCTGATAAGATACAGCCACCTTCCTCCATCACACGCTGACACACCCTTCTCTTTCCCTCTCCCTGCAACTATAATGACAGTTCTCTTCCTCTCCAAGTCAATCTTGTTCCCCTCCTAGGGAAAGTAGGCAAGTAGTAGTAGTGGTAGTGGTGGTGGTAGTAGTAGTAGTAGTGGTTGGTGGTATTATTATTATTATTATTATTATTATTATTATTATTATTATTATTATTATTATACTCCCAGGTAAGACCCGTGTGGGTGAAAGGGAGATTTGGATAGTGGAAGAGAAGTAGGGGAGAGGAAGGGATAAGAGCAATGAGAGAAAGAGCCGAGGCTAAACCCAGTCACGTGGCGTTGTTGGCTGGGTAGAGAGAGAATAATTGCTAGCCGTGCTGTGTGACTGTATCGAACGTCATGGCAGAGCTGGACAGGTTTTTCAATGTTCTGACAAACATAACACAGAGTAGTAGTAAACATAGCAAAATCCAGCATCAGTTAGGTAAAAAGCTCAGTACCCCAAGGCACGGTCCTGGCGCCTTTACTGTTTCTTATCCTCATAGCAGACGGATGAAAACACCTGTCAGAGTTACGTGTCTCGGATTAGTCCTCTTGGTTGTTGGCCTAATGGGCCAGGTTCTTGGTGCTAGTTAGACGCATGCAGCCGAACGTATGCATCTCGACCTGGCTGATCACGAACCTGCTAAAGGATCTTATCAAGTTCCGCTTACAGATAATTATGGGCCTGTTGGTAATACCTCTTCCGTATGAGGTGACGATGTTGAAAAGATTTGGTCCACTTACCTCTTTTTTGCGCCCTTGCTACATTACATATATAAATGCTGGATCAGCTGGGTTATGATGGCTTTGAGATTCTTGGCCGCTGGAGCAAACAGCCTGGTTAACCAAGCAATCGACAAGGAAGCCTTGTCTCTGTCCGGGCTGAGGGGATAGAAAAGTCCTCGAAATCGGTCGCAGGTGAAGCATGGGATCTCCTTGTTCCATTCTCGTTCCTCCTCCTTCCGGGTGCTTACTCTTCCCCCTGTCCACTTTTCTGCATTTTCTCTTGCGAAGCTGAAGGGGCAATGTCACTACCATCACTCCTTTCCACGATTGTTGGAGACCTTCATTGAAATTCTGTTAGCCTTCGCTTGAATCACAGTCTTGGTAAACCTCATCAATAGTGGTTCTTGGGTCAGCGTTGTCTGGGGAGAAATGTCAGGTATGCACAGTGTGTGCATTCATGAGGTGTCTGGCTGACTTGAACGTGATGTTGGTGTGAGAGAGATCACGTTTTTCTCGCAGTTTCTCAATTTATTTTGGATAGGTTGCGTATCTGATATAACGGTTGTTGATCAGCCAGGCTGTGGTGCCTAAGTTGAGCTCTCTTTTTCCGCTTGCATCACTAGTCTGACTGAACAGGTTAGTAACCAGGAGGCCTGGTCCGGGACCAATCCCTGGAGGGGGTGACTCCTCCTACCCCCCTGCCCCCAGAACCAGCAACAGCTACGTAACTTGTAGTTTAGTTATTAATGCCTGTTTCGTTCCATGCAAATAACCTAGGGAACTATATGGTGATACTTGTATTTTAATGCAGTAAATACTGTAGGTCCGGTAAGCCTGAATTTTCTTTTTCTTATTTTCCAAATTTTTGTTTTTAATTTTGCTCAAAACACGAGGATCGGCTTGAAATTTTATACATCTGGTGAACGGTAACTAGGGTTAGATTTATGCGACTATTGGCATGTGCAAGTGCCCTATCTAAAGTTGTTAAAACCAATCCAATTTGCTGGAATGGTTGCAGTAATTTGTAAAAGACCTTCTGCTTGACTTCAGACGCTTGTTAAAGTCGTCTTTTAATATGACGGTGGCTGGGTGAAATTGAAGTGTGTAGGTGCGCGTCTGTCAGTTGTGTGTGCAAAATAGTGTGAAGCTTTGTTCCCGTTAAATATATCTGAGTCTACTTCCACTGAATGGCTTCACTATTTGTTGGCTAGTGCATCTTACAGACAGGATAGTACCCATTAGGTGTAGTTTGTGTGCAGGCGAATTTTTCAACATGCTAAAAAAGTTTACAAAAACACTCGATCGATGAACGGTCATAACCCGAGAATGCCTCTGCTGATCGGTTTCAAAAATTTCAGCCCTTGTGTGTTTTGCCGAATGCAAGTTTTATTGTGTAATTGTGCGCCATAAGTACAAATTTGCCAACTTTGTTTTTTAAAAAAGTGACCTTAATTTCCATTCAATAACTCAAGAATGAATCCTCTGATCGGCTTCAAAATATTACCGCTTATACATTTGATAAGAAGGATGACATCCTGTAAGTTTAGACTGGGAAATACTTTTTCTGATAGGCTTCAAACTTGGGCAGTGTTCCTGGGCTATACGACTCCTGTGACCTTAGCAGTTCACAATCTTTTTATTTTAAGTAGGGGGAAAGACCCTGATTAAAATAAAACAGTTATTAACTGCATCACTTTTAATGACTGAGTCATCTTGTGAAACTGATGAATTGGTTTTTGAAATTAGTCGAAGTACATTTTTTGGGGGGGGGGGATTCTTGGTAGTAACTAGACTAAATCTTCTGGTCGGCTTCAAACTTTTCGTGTTGACGTGTTTTCCTCAAAGGAAGCGTCGCCTTGTTTTTAGGTTGTGTAAATTTTAATATGCCAGTTTTATTAAACTGGTTACCATGAAATAACTGGAGCTTAATTTATCTTAAATCTACACGTTGTACTTTTTATGTTCCCATAAC